CAGTTTTGACAGGTTTATAACAGAGCCAGTATAGTTTTGAATAGCAAAATTATCTTCATAACCCCTGCAATGCTTGGGTTACCCTGACAGTCTAGACAGCACAGATGTGTCTGCACTAAGCTGGTGATCCTGCCCTCACCTGTAGCATAGCAGCTGTTTTTCCTATTGATGGCTCTCTTACTTTGTTGATGACTAATGCATCAAGCTGCTGGAAAATTAGTTACTCTTCCTCAGCCAGTCAGCATTCAAATATGCAGCTCATATCACTGACTTTTAATTTTTGACCACAGATGCAGAATTTTGGGGGAGGAGGGTCAGACAGAGACCATACTCATATCCATCACTTTACATTAAATTTTTAAGTTCTCAGAGTAAGGTCCAAGTCGCCTTGTGAAGTAGCGCCAGCACCAAGAACAGAATTTCTTTACTCTCCATGTCTTCCTTTCAGCACCCTCCTGTGTGTTTTTTTTCCGTTGACAGAGTTCGCTTTTTATTCAGGAAAACGCTATATCCACCCTCCATCTGTGAGCATGTGTGTGCATGTTTTCTTTCTCATAACTTCTCTTTGTGAGCTAATGGGTGTAATAATTGCCTTAGTGAGGTCACACTGAGGCTCAGGCTTTCCAGGCAGTCACAGGCAGTCTTGTGAAGAATATGTGGCTGCAGCTGCTTTGCGTGGAAGCACTGATACATGTTTAACCCCCTGGCCCACTCTGTCCCCTCTCTTTACCCACTGGTTAGCTGACCTAAAGATTTCCCTGCAAATCCATCTGGCACACTGTAAAGTCTTGGCTCTGTTCTTGAGAACAGGAAATAAGCTTTAGGTCTACACGGGATGTCTTGATCGACAGCAGATGAACCTGGTTCTTTTTGCATCATCTCAAGAACCATGCAATCAATAGCCTTCTCACCTCTCTGACATATAACAGACTTGGCCTGAAGGTCTGATTAAGACCCAGACCATGCTGTTATACACAGAAAAAAAGGGGGGGTCTCTAAGGTCTTGGAGTATTTGCAAAAATAAACACCACTGGCCAAGCCCACCCTGCAACAAATCATAAGCAGTCTCATAAAGGCCCTTTACAGTCCCTGCTGGACGTGATGTAAGTGTTGGGTGGCCTGAGCAGCCCCTCCTCAGTCCCTGCCTGTCTGCTCTGGAAACTCCATGTGCACCCAGCCGGGCATACTCCCTTCCTCCTGAGGGTCTGCTGCTGCAAGGGAAGAGACAGGGCTGCTTTTCAAACTCTGGCATCAATACTTGCTATATGTTCTTCAAAACCCACCTGGACTACGCTGCTACAGTTGTGCAGCATAGGAGAGAGACAGTGGGTGGAAAACAAGAGGCAGGGAGTGATATGATTATGACTTTCTAGAGGGGAGCCTTAAGAGCATTAGCCACCTTCCTTAAAATTATATTCACGTTCCTCTAAACTAGGGTCAGACTGTTATTTATTATAGGACCAAACTGCCTTTGCATGTTGTGGACTGTATAGGAATAAGTAGCAGATAAGTAAGAAACTTGTGCTCTTAAGAAACAACATAAAAACATCAGGGAAACAAGTGGGTACAGCTACCATTACAAAGCATCTTAGGAAAGCTAAAGAAACAAAGCACATATCTATAGCCAGAATGTTTTGTTTTGGTTTTTGGTTTTGTTTGGTTTTTGTTTTTTGGTTTTTTTTTTTTTTTGCTAAAATTTGACAGGGTAATTCAAAACTTTATTAAAATAATAGGATATTTTAAAATTCAGGAAAGCCATCTAGTAATCTTTCTGGAACAGTGATCTTTAAGGGAAGCACGTGTGCCACTAGAGGTTTTATACGTAGATTGTACTGTAACATATGAAATTGCATTTTTCAATCACCTTTCAGGATCCATTGGAAGTTTTCCACAGAAACCCTCCCTCTCTCCCCCTCCACTTCATAGCCCATAAGTTAAAAACCAGCATTCTAAAAATAGTTTCTCTCCCAGTTAGGTCTTTTAGGTTTCTCCCCAAAGTTTCTATAGGGGCTTTCTTGAATACAGCAGTGCAATTTGATGATGGTTATATTCTGTCCTATTATTTGACTTCCTTAATTTACTCTTTCTTACATAAACAAAACAAAAAACCTCATTTGAAGAGGAGGATACAGTCTGTCAGTGTGTTTAACAGTCTATCTTTTTTAATATTTTTACCCTGAAGCTACCACCATCTGGGAGTAGTTAGCATGAGAAAACAATAAAAAGCCAATCTATGTTCGTAAGACTTGTTGCCTGCAGTATTTGAGTGAGAAGATTAGCATCCCCATTCACTTATTTATTTATTCTACCCGCACATAATGTTGTCATTTTTAAATCCAAACAGTTTGAAAAGCTCCTGCTGTTGCTTATGCGCTAAAGCCCAAGCTGAGGTTATCATGTTTGCCTTGCAGCACCAAATGTCAATTTGCACTCCATAAAGCATTGTACGCCGTTTGTAGCTGTGTTTGTAGATGGCTGTAGGACATCAGCTGTAGCGAGGAAAGTACAGACAACTGAATCTCTAGTCTTAGCAGGCACAGAAAAAACATTGATTTCTACCCCCTTGAAATTCAAACGCATTGGTAAGACTTTTTTTACCAAACCCAAGAGTTTATGGATTTTGGTTTTTTTTTTTTTTTTCCCCAACTGATACTGTGTTCTTCTCCACTTGCCCTTGTGAGCATTCAGAGTGCGCACCCAGCATGTGCCTCAGGAGTGAAGTTTGCTCAGGTCTTGAAAAACAAGAAAATGATCCTGTTCCCAGGACAGTCACTGTGCAGGCATACATTACAGACCTGAATGGCATGTTTCATTAAAATACCATTTTTGTGCAGCAAGGTTGGAGCCTCAGATTTTAGCTGCTTTTGTATTTCCCTTTTAATAACTCCAGCAGTAACTGTGGTTATTAACGTTATTTTATTACACATAATAACATTGAAAGTAGCTGCAGTTATCTCAGTTGCTCATGTCAGTCAGAGCAAAGTTTTTCTGTTTGCTTCTTTTCTAATCCTTGTTCCTTGCACTTCCACAGTCATCAGGTTGAATCCAAAGCTTCTAGTCACACCAAAGCAACTCCACAAGCAGGATAACCGATTTATTTGGGCATCTAACTCCTAGTTTATTCTAAGGCTTTTTGAAAACGGTCTTTGATGGTTAATACTATCTGCTTTAACACCTGGTAGAAGGGCAAGTCTATTACTATTACCCAATGATGAAGCCTTCCCAGTTCACAGGACTTCTCTTTATGTTCAGCAGGCCAGTTTAAACAGGATTATAATGATGCTCTTTACCTGCAACTGACCTTCTCCTTGTGCAACTTTTTTGGCTGGATGTGTGACTCAGCATTAGGCTATTAGACACCATAGCCTAATGTCAATAAATGCTGGAGGGATCAACACTTACATCTCAGCTACTACATTACAAACCAAAGTTGGCTGTCAGACATAAAATTGTTCCAGCCAAGAATCTGTAGTGCTTTTCTCTTCATGTACCAAGTATCACACAAGACAGAGGAGCCAGTGAAGCAAAATATTAGCCCAGCTCTTAAACTGGCAAGAGAGCTTGAACATCACAGAGCTTCCCCTTGCTCCCCCCCAGCCCAAGGTTCCCACAGCTTTTCAACATTGCTGTGTGGTGCTCCTGCCAAACAGGTGTCTCTGCCTCCCCAAGGGCTGGTAACAAATGACTATCTGAGTTCAATTTGTGCAATGGAAACTGTTTCCATTACAAGCATAAGTGAAATCTATCCAAGCAACTGATTCTGAGATCCCAAAGCCTGCATGTTTTCATAACCTATACTGACACAGCCTTAGCCTTTCCAGAGTCGGTCAGGTCAATGATTTCTTTGTTCTTCAGCTCATGAAACACGAGTTGGCAAACACCACCTTCACTAGGTCAGGTACCCCTCTAAACCCCCTGGTTTAGAGGCTTGAACCCAGGTCTACTCAGAGCTTTAAATTCAAGGGATTATTAGTGCAAGAGAAACACTGCAAAAAGCTTACACACACATTCCTTCCTTATGCATCATTTAAATACTGTCAACACGTCTTTCTTTGCAGTCTAGTAATTCCTACATTAATCATTCTGCAAATCAGTTTCGTACTGAACAGAAGAATTGCATCATATTGTAACAATTTGATCCTCCTAAGCTGAGACTGCCAGAGGTTGATTAATTAACTGTACACTGTGACAGAACTGTAAATGACCTGGTGTTTTAAGTTGATCATGTACAATCAGAACATTTACAGCTTTCTAATACATTCCTCACATATGGGAGGACCAGTAAAGATAGTTTGAGCTATACTTCAGACTGAGCCTCATATCAGGTGTTCCTTTAATAAATGCTTAGGAACCAAGTCTGTATGTTAAGATGAATCAGCATCTCACCACATGACAATTTTGATGTTTTCTAGAGACATCAGTATACCTCTTAATCACAAAGTACACGACATGGTACTATCCATCCCTGAAAGAAGGTTCACTGAAGTCCTTCAGGGGAACTGAGAAGCAGGTGGCTGTAGGGGATGGGTATGACTGTCTATCTACAGAGCCCAGACTAGCAGCATTCAGTAGTAAGAACACTCTTGAACACCTGATTAAACTACAGTTCAAGTCTTGCCATCTGCATTTAGGTTATGATGACTAGGAATCAGTTTTGCTTATTTAATCAAGTAGTTATCTGTATCACGGATACAGTGCTTTCTGTAACAGCTGACAGTAGTTTATCCAGGTGTTAACACTGCATTTGAACCATGCTCTAGCACTAGTATGGCCTGTTTAATCTTGCAGCTCAGATATCTAGTTTAATGAACCATTTATAGGTATAGCTTTGCTCCTGTGTGACCCAACTTAAGCTTTGTTATTTCATTCAAAAATTCAGAGCGGCTGTGCAAGCAATGCTTCATTTAAGAGGCACTGAGCTCAAATTCCCAGAATTATTCTAGGACCTTCTCCTAGACAGACTCTTAAAGTCTTTCCCCCGATTAAAACTAACATTCAACTCAAAACTTAAAAACTTCTTTATTTTACTCTTAGACTTGGGCTTTAAGGACACCTTAGAATCAGTTACATAAAGATTGATATTGCAAAAAAGTGGAGGTGCAGTTCCAAAAAAACCTCATAGTGTCTTCAAATATAAAAATATATATCCAATTTATTATTATCTAGGAAAAGTGTACCACCATTTCTGCCTCAAGCTGGTCCTGCCAGCTTTTGGGTCATGACTCCCCACTACAGAGCTCAAGAGCTCACACTGGAAGAAGCATCTCCGAGGTTCATGTCACAGGCATGATTCACAGCAAGCTGCTTTGTTGCAGCACACAGACCCAACCTTAAGTTTTTTGAAAGCATTCCATAGTTTTCCGTTGAGCAGTGGGTAAAAAGCATCCAAACATCTCCTGGGAAGCATATGTCATATATACAAAGCCATCTTCATCTTTGTAGTCCCTGTACACTTCTGCCATTGTCAAGGACATACTGGCTAGGCTTTTGTTGTTCACCAGCAGGTAGAAAGCTTGTGTAGCAGTTAGAGCCATCCTGCTTCTAATTGACAAAGAGAAGAAAAACAGAAGATTAAGCAGTAGCAAATTCAAGAAGGTTTCAACTTTATTCTATGAAATACATTAAGCAAGGCAGTTGCATGAACTATGTACAAGAAATGTTGTGTAAAGTCATTAGGTGGTTTAATGTCTCCGTCAGCAGGAAGTTAACCATATGTTTGGAAGCTGAAAGCCTGGTGCTCTGAGGAAAGGCTTACATTGTTAGACCATGAGTGCTACTGAGCCTGGGCTTTGAGCTCCCAATTACCAGGGAAGAGTGAGAAGGAACAAAAAGCTTCTGCAGTGGAGCTGTAGTAAAGGATTCCAGCATGGTCTGTTCACTTATAATAAAGTCTACCCTCAAAAGAAGAGTCTTTTTCAGACACATTACATATGATGACCAGGATCTAAATTGCCCAAGAGCCAAAAACATCTTTTAAGAAGTTATCATCTACAGAGATCTTTCCCATATTTTAAAAAGTATGCTGGAAAGCACACAGCTTTCATACTTTGTCTAAATACTTTGGCATACTTATTCCTTGTAGTGTTTTATAAAGAAAAATTTAGAAGCACATTTTGTGCCACTCATACCTAAGAGCTGCTTTGAACTTGAGCAAGGTCCAGTAAGAGAGCAAATAAGGCAATAACAGCTATAAGCAGAACAGAACCACAGAGCACCAGTACCAAGTTTACCAAGCAGGAAGAAAGCAGAACAGGAGTCCGATACAGTCTTTACTCACTACAGTTAGGGGGAAGAGAGAAGACTTTGAATCCAAAAAGCACAGACCACATTTTTTCCCCAGATGCACCCGTGAAAGTACCTGTTAGTTTTCTTTCAGCATTTGCAAGAGAGGGAAGCCATTACTAACACCTTTATCCCCCTCCCCAGCAAAGAAAGCAAGACATTCCAGAACAGCACTGGGAAGCACCTGCTTAGAGAAGAGCAGCGCGCCCCGGCCGCAGTGCAGACCCACGGGTGCTTGCTACCCACCTGATGATGGTTATGAACTGTGTCATGGTCAGCTCCTCAGGAACAAGAAACTTGGTTTTATCCAACAGAGGAAGGTATTTCTCCTTATGGTATCTCTCAACAATTACCTGTTTTAATTAGAATCCCACTTAGCAAGACCTGAAACATGCAGGTCCCTTCCCCCCTCCCACACTTGAGCGAGAGGTCCCCAACGTTTCTTTTCAAGCAGTTAGCAATAACCCCCGCTAACAAAACAGAGATTTACCGGGATTTTCGTTGGGAACTTCGCCCGGATCCCTGCTACTTCTTCCAGCCGCGTGGCTGCGCGGGAGAGAGGAGAAACGTTACGCGTGCGCGCACCCCGCCGCCGCCGCGCCGCCCCCTCCGCGCACGCGCCGCCCCTACCGAAACTCTTCCGCAGCTTGAACGGCCTGGCCGCCTGCGCCCCGGGTACCGCCTGCATCCTTCCTTCCTTCCTTCTTTCTTTCTGTCCTTCCTTCTTCCTCCCTCTCTCCTTTCCTCCCCCCTTCCTTCGCGCCGCGCTGCTCCCGCTGCCGCGGCGGCCCCGCGCCTCTTATGGGGGGCGGGGGCGGGCCGGGGCCGGGGCCGGGGCCGGGTCCCCGCCCCGGTGCTGGGGGCAGCGCCCGCCCCGCTCGGCGGGGGGAGGCCCCGCGGCGCTGCCGGCCGGCCGTGGGTGTCCCGTCGTGTGTTTCCCACCCCCCCCTCCCCGCCCCGCAATTTTTCCTCGCTCGAGGGGAGCGTGGGGTGTGCTGCCGGCCTCTCTGAGTCGGCCCTAGCAGCGTCTTTTTCCGTTCTGTGCTTGCTTTGGTATAAATTATCCGAGCTGCGAGACATTCTGCGTACAGGACAATGTAATGCTTTGTCAGAGGTCTGAGTGCCCTGCGGGGTGGTTGGAAGGTGCAGTTCAAGGCTGGATTATCTCCATCTGTCTTCCCTTTCCAGATGGTCAGTCCAGAAGGTCAGTTACCTTCTTTGTACTTAGAAACTGCTTTTGGACTATTTATTCGGTTTTAGGGAAAAAAAAAAAAAAAAAACCCAAAAAAACAACCCTAAACAAATAAAAACACACACACACAAACACAAAACAAACAAAAAAAACACCTGACATTTTTAATATCCTCAGGCTAACAGATTGCTTCCTTTCTGAATGACTTGGGAGGGGTGTTTTAACTCTGGTTTTGTCTCTAAGGCATGGTCAACTATTTAAGGGCTTCCAAGCAGACTTCAAGTCAATCTATTTGTCAAATATGAGACAGATTCTCTGCCTTTTGTATTGCTTGTTCACCTGCTTTTACTTCAGCTGTCAATTTGTCTTTGCAGACAAACATGGCTCAGCAAGGAGTAAAGTTAACTCAAGGCTGGTTGTTGTGTAAATAAGTCATCTCAGTGAATGGCTGGAATCAATCCTCATTACTGATTTGTTTTCCTTATCTCTTTAAAATATAGTAGTTTTCATTTTATTTGATCTACTGGGCTAAGGGCAAGTGGAAGTTGCTAAGGTTTACAAGTTACCGTTTATGAGTTATGAGTTTGTCTGCTTTTTCAAGGCAAAATCCATGACTGTCACCTAAGATCATTTTGAAAAGGAACATCTTTGCCAAAGTGTGTGTGCACAGTGTATGCATATGTCATGATTTTCAACCAGTCTTGCCAGAACAGAGTTTCAGTGGCTGAAGTCGTTAGTGCTGCCGAGCTGTCCTTCCCTCTTGATCTGGAAGTGGTGTGCTTTAGTCACACTGCAAGCTCCCCCACGTGGCACTACGAATTTAATTGGGCAGAGAAGACAAGATCTTTGATTTGAGAGTTTCATGATCAAGAGCTCTGACCTTGGAGAGGGGACTTGAGGCTACGCTGGAACGGTTTGGGTACAGCTTCTCCTTTTGAGCAGACGGCTGCATCAGGGCGAGTAAGCGCAGGGGCTTGCTTGCAAGGCTGGGTCTGGCTTAAGTTCTTTTGAGTAGAAGTGAGATGACAGACTGGGGAAGAGTGGGTGGAGGAGAACACGTGCCACAGAACTGACATGATGCCGTAACTGTCTGGTGAGACGTGTATTTGAGAAGATGAAGGAACAGAAGAATAATTAGAAGTGTAAAGAAACAGCATGGAAATAACATACAGCACAAGAACAAAGCCTGCAGGCGGCAGAAGGATGTGTGGAGATCAGAGAGTGTGTCTTTGGATCTGTGGTCAGTGTGGGGCTTCCCAGAGCTGTTCAGGAAGAGGGCCAGTTCTTCCACACACCCCAGTGGATCTGTTGGTTTCTGCCCAGTAGCTCCAGTAGAAAGATCTGTGATCCACTGTGTGCAGAGAAGAGGGAATCTGCCACACCAGGGTTCTGCTTTCTGTGTCACCTCTTGCTGCACACAAAGTACCAAAGCATGGCTCCATACAGACACCAGCAGCCCTGCTTCCAGAGAGATGTGGCTTCTTGTCATAACCATCAGCTCCTACAGCAACTGCTAGAGAGAAAAACGAAACCCTGATAAGAAGCCAGACAAGAATTCCCAGTGAACCTGGTGATCAGTTACAGCTCTAATGTCTGTGAGAGCTAAGAGTGAGTTTAGGTAAAATCTCTTTGGTATGGAGGACAATGGTTAAAATGTGCATACGGGCAGGACTGACCGCATCCCCCCATTCCCTACCCTCTGCGCTGCTGGCGGGAAGGAGGTAGAGAAATCAGAAGCAAAGCTGAGCCTGGGATAAAGGGAGGGGTGAGAAGAAGGTGTTCTCAAGATGTGGTAATGCTTCTCATGGTCTGAGTTGTTCTACTTTGTCTGTTAAATGTTGTTGTTAGTGTCTATATTAAATTTGTGTTCTTTTTTCTTCCCCTAAGGGAGTCTGTCTTTTGCCTGTGACCATAATGGATGAGTCATCTCTCCCTGTCCTTATCTCAATTCACAGGCCTCTTGTTTCATTTTCTCCTTCTCAGTGCTGGGGGGGAGAGGGGAGTGAGTGGCTGCCTGGTTCTCAGTTTCCCTCTGAGCTCAAGTCACAACAACCTCCAGTTGCCATCTAGTGTTTCCTTAGAGAAAAATACCGAACACCTTTTTGAACGGTGAATTCTCCTTGAGCTTTGAGACTTCTCCTCTGTTCTTTCCTGCTCTGAAGCAGCAGGTTTGAATTACATTACTGTAGCGTGTGTGAAAGTTTGCATGACATTATCTGTGATCTGCTATGCCTTGGATTGGTTATAATAAGCTCTGTAACAACAACAACAACAAAGAGGTATAAAAAATGCTGAGGGTTTTGCATCGGTATATTGGAGTCTCTTCTTCCCCTCCGCAAGTGCTTTTGAACACTTGGATGTGTCGCTGAGGCACGACAACATACCCAAAAGCAAGCATCTGCTTTTCTCTAAGTCTGTGAGATGAACAGCACTGCTTTCAGGTGGACCTGTGGGCTATTGTGGAGCTGAGGATCAAGAGCTGCCTGCCTTACCCAGAGAACCGAGATGCTCTGATCAGACTGCTCAGGCAGCATGTGTGAGTGCTGTGAGGCCCTAGCCAAGATTTTGCCTGTTGTAGGAAGCTCACAGCTAAAATCTGGTGACTGCAAGTACATTCTGCCTTCAGAAGCCTCCCCAGTGCTGTCTGGTGCTCCTGTACCCTCCTGGTTAAAAGCCCTGTGAGGTTTGCGGAATAGGATTGATGAGGGCTGCAACTCCTGAGCCTGGGGGATTGAAGCTGTGCTCCTACAAAAAAACCTGACCACCAGGCTGCCTGCCCCTCCTCGAAGCTGCTGGGTGAATGCGCAGTACAGCGGCCAGGGCCAGGCAAGGCGTCAGCCCCTGCCCACGCCTGCCACCAGGACATCCGTAGGGTGGAGGCAGCGGCCGTTTAAATTGCCAAAGCTTTTTCTGCCAGAGCTGGGGGGACAGGGCTCCCAGCCAGCAGGCAGACTGAAGCTTGCTAGTCTGCTCTGCCAAACTAGCCGAACAGTGCGATGCCTAATGAAGGCAAACCCAAGGGTCAGGTTTAGTCAAGAGAAAAACTCAGTAAATGTAAAACTCTGGATGGCATTAGAAGTGATTTGCATTCCAGTGGACAAGATTCGCTTCACTTACATGGTGAAAAGCACTCTAGTATGCCATAAACTGAGATTAGTTTTCCTTCATAAATCAGTATGCAGGTGCTACTGAGTTAATTCCAGTGTAGCAGAACATGGATGACAAACAGGGCTTCGCTCTGGCTATAAATTCCATCCAGCACTTAACAATCCTGAACACAAGTGGTTATGTAAGCAAGAGAGGCTGAGGGAGTAAGTGTAGAAGGCACAAAACAATTATGTATAGTCTAACAATTTAAATATGAATGATACAGTGCTAGAGGGATCAAGATTTATTTATTTAAGCAGCCTAACTGAATAGGAAGAGAAACTGCAGCATGATGTTCTAGGGAAAAAATCTGACTTGGCAAAATGAAGGCTTATTTGTCTCACTGGGAAAGCCTATGAAGTTCTACAGTATTATGCATAGTTATCTTAAATACGTGCTTTCATGAGGGTTGTCTAAAAGTGAAAATAAAATAGTCAAGTTGAGGGGTTTGAAAAGCCCTCAAGCAGTCAGACTTGGCCAGCCAATTTAATAGGTTTTCAGAGAGCCATTCTGAATATTTCCACACTCCCTGAACATGGTTACTTAAAGATAGGGAATCCTTTGTCTCCTTTTTCCCTTCTGCAACTCTGAACCTGCCTGTTTCTCCTCCTGTGACACAAGCAAACCCACACTTGTTGGTAAGCCTGAAGTGATTGTGTTCCAGTAACTAACTTTCTGAATTCATAAGTCTTTACACCAAAAAGCTAGCTGGACTATTCTTATGTTTTAGGGGATGCTTAGTCTTATATCTCAGATTTATTGTTCAAACTCATCTGCTAATAAGACTCAGATCACAAACTGAGCCTCTCTCAAAATGCTGAGATAAGTTTAAAAGTCACCAGTGATATTTCTGGATTGATTGACTAGTGTTTGTATGTACTTTTGGTTCTTTGTCTCCTGATTTTTTAATCCTTATATTGAACCTAGATCATACGTGTGATGGCTTTTTGGTGTAGCCACAAGGATTAGAAATGAGTTCTGTTACTTTCAAGTGAGAGACTACGTGACTATTTTGCACCAGATCTTGAGATTCTGAAATTAAAATGTCCCTTCTGCAAAAGAAACTGCGGTTAGACTAATTTCATCTCTCTTTCTTACCTTTAACTGTCCTGTTGGTGTTCAGCTCATTGTGTTGGAGAGTAGTTTCTTTATGCTAGTTTTTGGGTTCAAGTGCACTAATCGTGCTTTTGTTGAGTGCTTTATCTTCCATCTAAAGGTTTTAAGACCTCTCTCAACATTAATTCATTACATTTTCAACCTTATTGAGAGCACTGAGTAGACTGATGTGAGGTATCGGTAGTTTTTAAGTTGTTCTACATAGTAAGTGCTTCTGTTTTAGCATTTTAAATTTGAGATCTAGATTCTCAGTAATCTTCAAGTGTTGTTCAAATTGGAGATTCTAACTAGATGTAAAAAAAAAAAAAAAATAAAAAAATCAGTGACTCTTTTTGAGGAAAGCTGGCATAAGATGGCAACCTTTCGGTCAAGGTCCCTGCAAGTACATCTTTGATTTTCTGTTTCCTGCTATACTAGTGGTTCACCAGCTTTCTGTCCCACAGGCGCTGAGCTCAAAGTCTAGAAAGATACTAAAAAGGGAAAACCATCACTGGATCCTCATTTTCCATTATCTGTTCTCTTGTTATCATTGCTAAGGTGCAGTGTATTATGTTTTCTGTCTGCAGAAGAAACAGAATCGATGTTGTTCCTGCTAGCCAATTTCTTTGGTCATCTTTTTGAGAAACTGAACAAATGTTCCTCTGCACAGACAAGACACTTAGTTTTTCCTTGAGGTATAGTGCTTCAGTTAATGGATTTCCCTTTGTAAGATATCATAACCTTCTGTAGTCATGGCTGCTTTACAGATA